TTTATTAAGTAAATTCATATATTAAAATACATACTCTCGGTTCCAATAATCATAAGATAACTTCAAAAATTAGGAGCTGAATCCGATCCTCTGTTGGCAAGCAAAAAGAGTTGATATGGTTCGACTAATGAAATAAAAGTACCCATAAACCTTGATAATGGTCGTAAAAAAAACGTAACTAGGGGGGACCCTACCTTTCAAAATACTCAAACCCCAATGCAAAATACAAATATATTTAAAGTGATAATAAAACCACCTCAATGATGATCGTATTAAGAGATTATATCAACTAGAGGGGTCTTTATCTTTTAAATGCCCTAAAATCTCAAAACTAATCATAAAGGGGTTCTAATTTTAATAAAAGTTCAAAACTCAAACATCACTTAAATTAATATATTCAATATAAAATAAATCACTTAATAAATTAAAGCAAAAAATTCATCCACCCTCTGCAATAGTTTTTCAGGTGGATAAATTTGAAAATCACTTCAGCACAAAAAAAATGAAACACTAGTCGAGAATATCACTATGATTAATTATCAAATCATCTCCTTATAGTAAGGACATGTCATGTGTTCTCTAATTGATAATTTTGTCACAATTGACCCACTAAATGATACTACTAAATTACAGTCATGATAAGAGCCCGTATGTTCCATAATGGCTTTATATTCTTGAGTAATGAATCAATATGGTACAATCGATAGAGCACAAAGCTCTTTCTTAGCTAAATTGAGCTCAAATATATCCTCTTAGACAAACATTCATCCCAAGTCTATATGATACTCTTGTACGAAGTAACTTATGATTACTGATAAGGATCCTATGGTCAGGTTGGGTCGACTACCTTTTATGGCTAAGTAGACTAAGGATCATGATGAACAAGGATGACAAAACCATAGAATATTTATCGTGTTCATCAACATCCCCCATCCGCTTTTTGTGAGCGGTGATAATTTTTAAATTTCAATATCTAATTATACTACTACTATATATTGATATTACATATGTGCTCAACAACTAGTCTTAAATGAAAAGGCTCTCTCATTATCATGAGGGATTATTAACCATAGGGCATGTGCCTATAAGAAACAAGACCTCAGATCATGAAGTCCTCTCAAAATGAGGGTGAAATCTCTTTGTAGTATCTTATCTGAATTCCAATCAGCCTACTAAAATTTGCTCTTAAACTTAAACTCGCTAAAACTCTCCTTGCTGAGAAAAAAAGACATCAAGAGGCCAAGGAGGGAGTTTTTGGAGCCTATAATAAGTCCTGTTTAGATAATCTTTGTATCAAAGAGGAAAATTTTAATTTTCTGCTAACTCAATAGGAAAATCCCTCACTATCTTCAAACTAAGCTAGATAGTTTCCTATCACTAGGTAGACCAACCAACATGAATTTTGATTCTTTTTATTCATACAAGATAGCAAAATCATAAAGTGTGAATACAACGAGATTCTAAATTAACCATTTTGGATAAGTGAAAATATAAGTCTCCTAAAAAGGAAATATGATGTCTACAATGAAATGAAAAATGAAACTAAGGGATTTGCAAATAAAGGAGCATACAACCAATCCAAAAATTATTAAAGATTCCATAAATACCAAAGTAATTAATAAAGTGCCTCATACCTTGACCGACCTTGAGTTTGATAGAAGTAAGCCCCCTAAAATCCATTTAATCGTAAAAATGGAAGTAGTAGTGATGCATTGTAAAAAGTTCATGGAGTCTGAGAGATATAGAGTTTAACGTCCTAGCCTTATATAAAGATCTAACATACAAACATATAAGAGAGAGGGGTGCAATATTTAGAAGTAACACCAAAAATTTTACGTAGAAACCCATATAAAGGGGAAAAATTATGGGGCCTAGCTCAGTTGAAATGATTCCACTAACGTTGGTAGTTGAATACATATAATTCCCTTCCTCGAAGGATGGTGTTATCTAAATGAAATAAATACACATTATATAGAGCACATTAAATTACTGGAGAATGACGTGATAGCTATCCTGAAGAGAGTTTAGTTTATAAGGTTGTGGACGAGTGATAGTCAAAGGGCCATAGTTGGCAGATGACGGAGATTGGAAGGACCAACGTTTTGAAAATCGGACCAGACCGGCCGGTTCAACCGGTTGAACCGCAAACCGGTCGGCCGGCCGGTTACGGTTCAAACCAGAACCGCGAAATCCCAAAACCGCTGTTCGACAGCTCGAACCGACGGTTCGACCGCCGAACCAGCGAACAAGTCCCGGTTTCGGATAACCGGCCGGTTCAGCAACCGCACCATTTTAGCGGAAAATGAGAGATCAGACGGCTGAGATGTGCTTCTTTATGCGAAAAAACCAAACCCTATTTCATTTCTCTTGTTTCGACTGTTCGGGACCTTCGGGTTCTTCTCCTTCCCGACGCTCCTTCGCCGTGTCTGGTCGCAAACTCGCAAAGCCGGAAGCCGTCACCGAAGAGGACAGCTCGTTAGCGAAGACAGAGGGCAAACGAGCCTTCTATACTGGTTTGTAACTTTGTATCGTTTGTTTCTGAAGTTTTTTTTTTTTTTTTTCAAAACCAAAACCACAGAACAAACACTAAATAGCGAGGATTCAAACCCCACCTTAGGTGCTCGCATGGTGCGTTGGCTGGGCGGGCCAATCGGGTCGGCAGTTCCCACGAGGGTTGTGGGGTGCATGGGCTGGCTTGGAGGGCCTGGTTGGGTTAGCTATATGGGGGCGGGCTGAGGAGATGTGCGTGGGCTGGCTTGAGGGCAGCGGGAAGGTTGATTGGGGCGAGCAGCGGGCTGCTTGGGTATAAATTTTTTTTTTTTTTTTATCATTTTCCGACGTAAAAATAATCCACCAAAAATAGATTTCGACGAATTTTTAGTCGGAAATCAGTCGGAAATATTTTTGGCGCATTATTTAACATCGGAAAGGATTTTTCAACGCGCGTTTTACTGTCAGAATAACTTTAGCCGAAAATTCTCCGGAAATACTAAGTTCCGAAGGATTTTAGCCATTTTTCCGATGAAAATGACAGTCGAAAAATGGCATTTTTCCTGTAGTGAGGGATCGTAGTTTTGGGGGGCGATGGGGGTCAGAAGGACTATAGTTAAATTAATGACGGTGGTCTGAGAGATCGTAGTTGGCTGGTGATGGAGGTCAGAAGTACAATAATTGGGTAGTGGTGGTCAGAAGGATCAAAGTTGGGTAAATGAAGTTAGAAGGATTTTTGTTGTGCAATAGTGGCTGAAGGGCCATAATCAAGAGATAATGGGCAGAGGGATTATAGTTGGCAAGCTAAGGAGGTCAGAAGAGTCATAGTCGGGTGACCATGGTCAAAGGTGATGTAGTTGGAGGGTGATGAATGATGGAAGGACCATAGTAGAGTGATGATGATTAGAAGGACTATAGTCATGCAATGGATGTCGGAAGGACCGTAGTTGGGCAACGATGGTTGGAAGGATCATAGTCAGACGACGGTGGTCAAAAGAATTGTAGTTAGGCCACGATGGTCAAAGGGATCGAAGTCGACAAACGATGGAGGTTGGAAGGATCGCAGTTGGGTGACAGTGGTTAGAGGGGTAGTTGGTGGGCGACAGAGGTCGAAATGACTATAGTCAGGTGACATTGATCAGAAGGATCGTTGTCGACGGGCGATGGAGGTCAAAGGCATTGTAATCAACGGGCAAGGGAGGCTAGAAAAATTGTAATCGGTGGGCAACGAATATTGGAGAAATGATAGTCGATTGACGGTGGTAGTCTGGCGGGACCATAGTTAGTGGGCGACGGTAGTAGGAGTTATAATAATCGACGGATGGTGGTTGGAGTGGCCAAAGTCGACAGACTAAAATGATAAGTGGAAGGCTCGACAATTGCAACCAGATGGAGGTCAAGCAACGATGATCTATCAGAGGTCCAGTAGCGACAACCTGGTGGCACAAATTTGTTGGCGGTGGTGCCGAGGTGGAGCTCCAAGATTCTTTAAGCCTTAAAGTTCTTCTCTTACGCAATACCCCCCCAACACACACACATGTTGATTCCCCTGATCATGGAGCGTTTATTGAGCATTTAAGTGCCTTATTGATGTCAAATTTAAGTGATATTTAGCTAATTGGATTTTTGTCGTCAAGCCGCTCGATTTGACTATAAGTATGTCATGTTCAGATATCAATTAGTTATCCAAATGATGCTTTGAAGCTTTCAAGAATATTTTGATCCTTTGATTTGGGCTTATTTGGTTTTGGATTTAACTGAATTTGGTGTCATTATGTTTGTCACCTTCATATGGTCAATTTGACTAGAAGCTTGTTGCAATCAGAGTTTTGATGATCCCGAATTTAATTAAGGTTGTTGTAGGATTTTGGTGATCAAGGTAAAAGAATCATTTGAATTATTCTTGCAATGACAAACTTATAATGGCAGAGCCTTAATGAGGGTCATGGGGGCACATGATTACTCTTGCACCCTTGCTTATATATCCTATTTGTGTTATTAAAAAGGCCAAAAGGGTGACTACTTATAAAATCTTGTTGGTTCACAAAAGAAATCAGTGGCTTTTACAGAGGTTATATTGATTTTTTATGGCAAGCTGCAAAATTTTCTCATAAATGTTAAATAACTATCTAAAGAACACTATAGAAGAGTTCCACCACAAAGGCTTTCGTATCAGTTATAAATTAAACTGTTAGGATAGATCCATTTTTGCTGAGATTTTGCAAACGAAGTGATTAACATAACTGTAAAATAATGGCAGTATACACAGCAGAAAACAACTAATAGAAAATAGAAAGAGCAATTGCCAAACTCAGCAATGAGAAGCCACACAGAAATTGGCAATGCAAAGAAGAAAATTGACAATCAGAAAATTTACATTATCGAAGAGGAATTACATATATTTGACAACAGATAATAAATAGGACTCTTCAATAACCTGTCAGTTCGAAGAAGAACTAAGTTTTACTATCATTACTTTTCGCTTAAATTCTGGTCAGAAGTCCAAAAAGAATGGAAATAACTAAAATTTGCAAAGAAACTTCTGAATAGTTTTACAAGAGAATTTTTTAATTGTGCAAACTTGAAATAAAAAAAAAAATATATTATCTAACAAATATTCTAAAATATCAAGCACAACACTCATTTTTGTTGAAGCTCTCATAAACTCGAAGGTGCGATCCTTGCAGATTATGCTATTCGCTGCCTCTTCCTCCAATAACCGTAAAGTTCTTCTTCTTCCTCCTCTATTCCAACTTCAGCTTCCAGAGGAATATAATCTTCAGAGGCGGAAATACTGTCTTCAAGAGGAATGTAGTCTTCAGAGACGGAAACACCCAACAAGTTCTCTGTTTCCTCTGCTTCAAGAACTGCGCCATCTTCATCTCCTCCCACCTCAAGAGGGATATAGTCCTCCGCCTTTGCTGCAGAAAGCTGTCGTTCTTCTACTACACGATCATCACAAGTACGGCCGTAGACATTAAGGAACACGATATAGCTGGCTATGGAAGATAACGGACGAAGTCGGAAGACTTTCTCCATGCTTTCTTCTTCTTCTTCTCCTTCTTGGCGGTGGCAATCCACGGAATCTCCATCATCAAAAACGTCATCGTCTTCTCGTCCATTAGAGCTGACCAAGGATAGAGGAGCGCAAGCTTCTTCTTTTGTGACTTCCATTGAAAAATCCTAATCGTTTACTTTTCCAAGGCGCCTCCTTTATATTTAGGGCATTGGAGATTTGGAAAGATTTAAGATATTGATTAGCAGATATATGAGTAAAAGTAACAAAATCTATGTAAACCTTTAAAGAAAAATTCCTTACCCTGGACGCGAGGGATTTGGCAACAAAATACCGGACTTCTTACGTCGTGCGGCCAGTAATGTTCGTTACAGGCCGGGTATTCGGCTAGATAGTAGGCATGGATGGATTGACCGTTATGGCGAAAGAATATTTATAAAAAAATACATTAATTATTTATTTCTATAAAAAGAAAACTGATATTTAAATTATAGAAAGAAATAAATTTTGAGCTTATAATTTATTATAGCTAATTAGATCCCAGTAAAAAGGAATTTGATTGGGAGCTTCACCTAAACCAATTGATTTTATTTGCAAATTTAAGAAAATCAAATTATTGGCATCAATTTTGTCGAACTTGGATCCCAATTGAAATTTTTAAGTTTTCTTTGACTCATCTAAACTATTGTAAATCTTGAATACTTCTTGGTTACCCTACTTTGTCTTAATAGGCTAGGTTAAAACTAGTTCAAGCTTAAAAAAAAAAAAAATTCTTGTTCAAGCTAGAAAGAGCATTGTGCCTCTTTATGATATGTAGGAGCTCTATAAAGGTTATTAGCCAGTTTTAAAGTCTTATCTTACCTGTTAGTACTCTAAAGCATTTAAGTAAAACCAAGCCAATCTAATCGGCTATAAATTGATCGAATTATGCCTATTGTCACCTTACATGTACTTTTTATAGTTTCGAGACCCAATCAGCCCATCCATAATTGGCTCAAGTATCTTATTGGCTTTGTGCGCTAACCCTACCTCCACTAAGGTCAACTCACCCTAATTGCCTTATGACCTTACTTTACACATGCACTAAACCACAATCAAAGGTCTTTATGGACCCTAGCTCAAGCATAAAGGCTTAGGTCCTTCAGAGGCCCAGATGGGTCCGTTCTCGGTTTGTCCTAATCTATAAGGGACCCCAAGGATTCAATGAACCCAATGGGCCCAATTTGAGTTACACCCCAAGTCAAACATAAAAAACAATGAATGGATCCTTGAAAACCCTTGCATTTAAGACTATGGGCTCTGAAAATTCGGCCCAGGCCTCCCCCATCGCACTTTTTCTTCGGGGGAGTTTTAACGGATAAAGTTTCGGGGTAAATTTTGGGAAAACAGATGAATTTGTAGATAAGACACTACCCAGAGATTTCACCATCATTTTGCGAGGACTTTATGATATGAGTTCTGGTTTCCTATAGGCGCAAGCTTCTATAGTTAATTACCCCTCTCGGTAATGAGAGAGAACTTTCGATTAAGGCTAGTCATCGATGAATACATCGTATCCGTGGATACATGGTATCTGACATACCGTAGCAGTAGCCAGTATGGGTTTGAGAATTTAAAAATTTTGATATTTAAAATTAGAAATTTCACCATCTTTCACTTAAAGCGAATGGTGGAGAAATGGATTATGGACCTAATCAAGATCCCATGGTTTCATCATACCAGGCCATCGTAGTCCCTGGTCTACTTAGTCAGAGGAGGTAATCAACCCAACCTGACAGAAGGATCCTTGTCGGCAGCCATGGGTTGCTTCGTCCAATGGTACTTTATAGACCTAAGGTGAGTGTTTGTCAAAGGGGACAAATTTGAATCCACCTTAACTAACAAAGAGATTTTTGTCTTATCGATTATATCCTATTAATTTATATATATCTCAAGGATTTGATGTCACTAATTTCGTCCAGACGGATCGTCCCGACCCTTCCAGGTTCGTACAGACGAAATTGACAGATTTCTTCACAATTTTCTTCAGTTCGTCCCATACTAAAGCCAGTTCGTACGGACTAATTGCACTCAAAAAAATCAGCTTTGGAGGGGGTTTTACACTTTCGACAAAGGATCAGGTTTCATAGGCTTTATGCGTTTGTGAATGAATTTTATTTGTTGGAGGCCTTGATTGAAGGCCTTATATGAAAATATAAAATAGATATTATAATTGACTCATCAGTCGTATATCTGTTTGATAGTTCGAGCCATGTCAACTCCCATCATATAGAAAGATTAGGCTCAAAGTACGCTCATTTATTAACCCGCGCAACATACCTAGACCTCATGTGTGTATCCAAAACATGCTCGTCGAGGCCCATATGGGTGTATTATACATCTCCTTCCGTATACCCATGTGCATACATATTACAGTGCATATGCAGGATTTTTTTGGAACATTTAAGAGGTCTTCTATAGTAGCTCATAGAAGCTCATATTCGCCATAGTCTTCTAGCATTTATATGAAAATGGCATATATGATGTATAATCATTATTCATCAAAGAGCTTGCAAGCCTCAATAATCTTATCCAACTCAATGCTTAGAGCCAGGTTGAACTGAGATTTACTCACTCCATAATGATTTGATATGGCTTCCCGAGCTCGTATATGAATCAGTAAGCGACTCTCTAATTATGCCATCCTAATAATTTTATATTGTTGGCTTAAATAAAGAATCAATCATTTCAACCTTGAATGATTGCATTCTTACTGATATCTTCTTCTTCCAAAATCCGTGGTCACTATCCCGAATTAATAGTTTGTTATTTCCATTGTATATCGAATCCTTCTAATTGTATCGACATTTTAAATGTTGAATGGGTATCCTGCAGTGATATTAAGCCTTTCTGCTTGACTTGCTTTCCTTGGAGTTGAATTGTGGTTGAAGGGAGAGATGTTATTGTGTCCCTTCATCTCTGCCTTTTGACAAATTCCTCGTGCACGTGTTGTATTCGTTGTAAATAAATCATCATTGTCTGTAGGTAGATGAATGTGCTCATCTACGAACTGAGGTTGACTGTTGAATGAGTTGTGTTCATTGTTAATAATCTCTCCACACATTCATCCGCTATCTATCATGCTCATAGTGTGTTGACCTTCAGTATGCGTAGGCAACCACTATATTTATTCATGAGTTCGCTGCCGTTGACTAAGGGGAAGTCATAACATTCAATGCATGAGGTTTATATATGCAAGGGAAAGCATTAGTACTACCGTTGATTGTAGATATGCATTGACATGGCTTTTATGAATTAGCTATGACATTCATTAAAGATTTTCCATGATGATCTATAGATTGGTTGCCAAATATTTCACCATCTTCTCATTGTTTGCGCACAAATTCTATTTGCAAACCCTCCTCAAAGGTAGTTTAAACCTACTTTTTGTAAACTCTTTGTCCTCAAAGATAGTTTACAAGATACATGATGAGCTTGATACCAATCCCTTCACTCCAATTGAGATGGTCGTTATAGGCTGAATATGATAGTTCAAATAAAATTTATGCCAAAGCTTGTAATGAATTTGTGCGTGAGTCCTTGCTTGGATGAGATTCGGATAGATCTTCCTTTATTTGTATTTCAATTGGTATTTTATTGCTTATTTGTGTCATAACAAGATCAACTTGATTTGATTAAGCCTATCAAAAAAGTAATGTTTATGATACCAATTGAAGTGGATAGCACAATCAAGAGAGACGAATTAGTATATCTTTAAAAAATATATATATTTTTTATTAAATAACAAAATCAATAAATTACATAAGAAATAAAATAACAAGGAATCTAATGATTTTTTTTATTTAAAATAAAAATGTCGTTCAATCCAAAGTATAAAAGTCACTAATTTAAAAAGGTATTGCTCCTTCTTTTTGCAATTTTTAAGATCAAAATTTTTTTTATTGTCATAGCATCAGATATCATCATCATAGCAGTATTCTTAAGTAGCAAAATGAATAAAATGCCAAAATTCAAAAAAAAAAAAAAAAAAAAAAACCTGATATACAATGGCTTGATCAGCACAGTATGATGAAAAATTATAATGACAATTGAAGAATAATTTTAGCATGTGTTTTGAAGTTAATCTAAATGAAAGCAGAGATCGGCTACATCAATTAATATGGGAGCATAGTATGAATTCATTTGGGACGGCTTTCTTACTGCTTCGTAAAGTAGTTTTTTAGAAAAAAATTAAAATTTTTTAACTAAAAATTATTTTAAAAAGCAGTAAAAAAGCCATCCTAAACAAAACAATTGTTGGCCGGATGTCTTATAGAAGTCTCATTTTTTGTAGGCTAAGATATTCATAATCAATGTCTTACACATCAATTCATATAGAAAACATGCTATAAGTGAAACCTTTATGCAAATAGTGTTTGTCCACTTCAATATATTACACGCAGCGATGGAGCCAAGAAAATTATTTAGGACATACAGTTTGAAAGAAGCATAAATTAAATTTTTTTTTGCTATAAATAAAAATTGAAGAGTCAGAACCTATTAAGCCATTGCAAACAGAACACACTTCAATTACACGCAGCGAAGGAGCCAAGAAAATTATTTAGGATATACTATTTGAAAGAAGCATAATTTTTTTTTTGCTATAAATAAAAATTGAATAGTCAGAACCTATTAATATATATATATCTATTACATATAAAAATAAATTAAAAGTTTTGTTAGGGGCACATGACCATTCTTGCACCCTTGCTTAAAGAGTGACTACTCCTTACAAATCATGTTAGTTCACAATAGAATAAGTAGCTTTATAGTGGTTATTTTGATTTTTTATGACAGCACAAATTGCAACTAGATATTCTTGTAATTGTTACAAAAAGACCTGAAGAACATTATAGAAGTTCAACCAGGAAGGGCTTTCATATCGATTAAAATAGTTAGGATTGGCCTAATTTTTCAGCGATTTAAGCCATTGCAAACAAAACAATTATTAGGTCTGGTGACCGGACGTAGAGCTACGTGCGGTCACCACTGATTTACCCGGTATTTGCTCGGTATTGCTTGGTAATAATGAGAAATACCGCTCTGTGAAGACCAATACCAAGTAAATACCGAGCAATACCGAGTTTTTTCTTTTTCTAGAAAAAAACTCGGTAGTGCTCGGTGTTGCTCGGTATTACTCGGTATTTACTCGGTATTTGTCTTCACATAATGATTTTTCTCGTTATTGCAGAGCAAAATCGACAAATACGTGATTTTGTTCCTGCTACGTGGCGCGATCTCAGTGCCGGCCGAACGTAGCTCTACGTCTTTTCACCGGACCAAATAAAAGTTCTTGCAAACACAGTTGTAAAAGAAGTGCTTACCAAATTGTGCCACTATGTGAGTTTTACA